TAATATGAGCCATATTTTACATAACACGTACTACCTCTGTCCCAAACATGTAAAGTTGTGCACCAATTCTTAACAAAAAAAGGAAATAAGAATTTATATTTGGACACAGGAATACAAAAGAAAGAAGATAATTTTGGGACGGAAGCGTAGCTTTAACTCATATACAATCTGACTGATTTATGTACATGGATTCTGCTCCGTCCGTCTGAAATTCTAACACTATCATAGTAATAATGAGATGAGATATGAGTTGTATGCACTATATATGAATAAAAGCTATGGTACAAGGATGTATTGTATTTCTGTATGTTTTTGGACAAATATGCCAACACTAGGATAAGTCTACCGTACAATGATTATGTCATGTTGGAGCGTACAACTGTAGAGGATGAACACGTGGTTTGGAATCTTGGCAGTATGTGGCTATGTGAAGTTAGGGGGTGGGGTCAGGGTGCCCTTATCTTGTGGTGGTTTCTTGCAAAGATAAATGCAAGGAAATAATAATGCTGGCTTAGCTAGCTTTCCTACCCATTGCTCTTAGTTTTTGGTCTTTAATTAGCTCAAGCAATTCAAGCTAAGGTAGGGAAGTGGTAGTGTGGAGTGTAGTGTAGTGGACAGAGCAAATCTTCATTATTCATTCTGAAGATTGAGTCTGTACTTATTGTACTCCACTCTTTTTACCAGCTATTTGTTTCTCATGTACTGTTTCTCTCCATTATTACAAAGATATTACAAGAATATGGTTCCTATCAAATCTTGAGAATATCTCCTTGTACACTTTGCACCCAAAAGGTAGACTCCACAACCCCAACGCCCCACAGCTCGGTTTGACGCAGTAATCATGGAGAAGTAAATTACTGTATGATCTCACATTGTTCATCCCGAAAGCATCACAATTGATGAAACTTTCACACTATTGCTGCAAATATATATTCGAAGCCCAAACCATTCACTCAATAAACTCCCTCATAACCATATGATCGAGCTACCCATGAGGCCATGAGTGCGTTTCGTTCTATACATATTTTATGTGTGGTGCATAGTCCTAGTCGGGGTAATTTTTTAATGGAGTTAACCTATAGGGTAATTTTTTTTTTTTTTGGAAATCAAATTAGCAAGGATTTGTTGCCTGTCTTTCCGGCCCATTGCATGTCTACAATGTAAGCACGCTCACATCGTCCGACTATTAGCTCGCATATGAAATTATGAACTGTCTTTTAAATTTGATTGTAATTAAGTAGTCATTAGTAGAAAAACATCAAATTGTAGCGTTAGACTAACCACAACTCAGTTCAGTCAATAAATCAAATTCTTTACCAATTTATACGTATTCAATCAATCAATTCAATTTTTATTGCAATCGAGTAGGTCTGTCAATGGATCGGGTCTAGATCCTGACCCGACACGGACTCAACTGTTTTTTAATGGGTGTGAGATTGTATTTTATTCCGTTTACCCGGACGCAAACCGGAACTCTTTAGTATTTTTAATAAACGGGTCGGGTTTGGTACATATGATTCTGACCCGTTAAGGATTTGGACCCGTTTAAAATTTGTTATTAGTATACATACACACAAACTGATACATAAAGTGATTAGTTATAATACTTCAAGTAAAAACTACTACGTATTATATATACACACACATACTGTTGGTATTGACCCGTCAATTCTTTAAGCCCAATTGCACTTGAGGAGGTTCCAGCCCATTTACCCTTGGTTATAGCCGACCCATGCTTTGTTTGTCTGATGGTTCGCACAACGCCTTTTTTCTTCAATATGTGAAATCCTTTCCTACCTTTGACAGGCACGACATATCTCCTACTATGATATGTTACCATATCTAATTTCAGTCCTTGGCCTATTTAAATCTCTGCTTCCCGTCTGCGATAGATACTGGTCGAAACCCTTCCTCCCTAAAATCTCCTCAGTGGAACCCTATTGCAGTTGGCCGGATTTGCCTTGAGGTTGTTGCCCACAACCTCCATCTTTAGACTTTAGTGGCATTTATCATCCTTTGTGGATGAAATTGGAGACCTTAGAAGAAGAGCCTCCTTACACATACATACATACATACATACATACTAATACATAAAGTTATTAGTTGTATTTCTCTATTTAAAAAGATACTCACTAATACATACTTACTATATAAATGATACTGACCAAAATAGTAAGATACCCTAAAACTAATAACCATTTTGGCCATTTATAGATACTGATAAAGTGTGTTGGGCTCGATAGGCAAAGCCCAATAATCATTACGTAGCATTAATAATATTATTATATCATTATTATATATAATATAATAATATGGTTTTATACTCTCAGTAGTCCAAGAGACATTTTTGTGACCTAATTCCTAGTTTAATCTACGAGCTTTTGTTCCAAAGAAAGAGACACATAATGTGGAGTTATATATATGTTTCTACAAGAACCAATATTTTATTGTATAAAAGTACTAATTTTCTATGAGAAACCTTGAATTTTTTGAAAAGTGAAGATATATTTTGTTTTTAAGTTTCGTGCTTTGCTTTACATTTCATATGCATGTCTTGTTATTTTTACAAAATTTATAATATGCATATCATACTTGGCCGGTCTACCCAACCCAGTTCCAAGACCCATTAGGTCTGGGTCTACATTTTCAGATCCGTCGGATATACAAGTCGGGTTGGATCCTTTATTAACTTAGCGGGTTTGGGCCTGGAACACTGTGTTCCAACCCGGACTCGACCCATTGACAAGCCTACAATCGAGTACCACCGATATATTCAAATAGAAAAATTTATATAATTAAAACTATGTTTTTATTATACACATCATGCTTTTCAATTCTTTATGCAAATATTTATGATGATTTAAAAAGTCAAACATTTCGATGTAAACAAATTGAACTTTTTTTTGGGTGTTACTTCATACTTATTTGTAAAAACATAGAAAGATGTAAACAAAATAACCATGAGATCTTGATTTTAGCATTTGAATCTATTTAAGAAAAAATTGGGTGTGAAAATCTTCAACAGTTGAAACCTCATATTTTTTGTCTCTTTAAATACGTAATATTGGTTTCATATGAAAGATGATAAAAAAATATGATATTTGATATATATTTTTTTGTAAGAAATGGAGAGTACAAATAATAAAGTTATAAGTTTATAACACTTTAAAATTATTTGGGATTAATACTTTACATGGCCCCCACTATTTTATTTTTGTAACTTTCAGGCAACCAGTGGCAGAACTAGGGGGGCGAGTCGGTGCCGGCGCTCCCCCTTCTCCGGCGGCGGTTCTGTATGAATATATGTGTGTATATCTCAGCCCCGGTTCAGAAAGTACTAATATATTAAAGCACAGTCGCTATTTGTATGAATGAGTTGTGATAGTTCAAATGGTAGAGTGGAGGTTGGGAAAGCTTCCAAATTGGCCTGGGTTCAATTCTCAGGAGTAGCAATATTTTTTTGCTTTCTCATTTGCCTTGCACCTTTCTTTTTACGTATGAATGGTATCCTGGTATGACTCCATTATTGCTACTTTAGACTTTAGCCCATATGATAATTATTTATGTTCAAATAAATCACTCTAGGATATAATGCTGTTTAAATCACACTTTTTGAATTTCTATATCTTTTATTTTAGATTCTCATTTTTTCAATTCAAATTATTTTTTATCATTTCTTCTTCCAATAATGACATATACAGATGTTCTCATTTAATTTAATGTCAAGAATAATTCTAAAACTACTTTAAGTTTTTTTTATCATCTAAAACTACTTAAAGTTAATATATCTTGTGCATTTTCAAGCATTTTTATTTCAAACACACTACATATACATATATATGGAGTATAAGTTGTGGATCAAATAAAAAGAGTTCTTATCATGAAAATTGATCGAAAATAAAGCTTGTGCATTTAACTTGAGGTCCGATGACTCAAAATCAGCCAACAATGCACTATATTTTATCAAAAACTCGGTGACAATTTGATAAATAAATCAAAATTTGCTCTAATCGCGAAAAAGTGTAAAATAAATATCTACTAGTGTACCAAAACGAGAAAAAAGTGCGTCCATTCTCATTTTTCACGGGAATAACTCTTTTTATTAGAACCTCGCTCTATATGTATCTAATAATTAATTTTCACTCGTTTTTATTATATCCTAATAAAAATTTGTTTTTCAAAAAAAAAAAATACTACGTATAAGAGCACCCCCTCAAATTATTGTCTGGTTCGGTCATTGCAGGCAACACTCCCATCATCACCCTCTTCTCCCTCTTTCGTCAATAGACACTATGTTTTTGTAACTTGTGGCCAACACTCCCATCAGCACCCTCTTCTCCCTCTTCCGTCAATAGCCAAACAAATTCCCCTTCCAAGTGTTTCCAATCCACTTTGACATCCTTGTGTATCGAGCCGTCAAGATGGGTCGGAACTAGGGGTGGATTCGGTTCGGGCCACCCGGCCCGTGACCCGGCCCGGTCCGGCCCGGTACTGTGCGGGACCGGGACCGGGTGTAGACCCGAACCGGTGGGAATGGGCGGGGCGGGCTCGGTTTTGAAAAAATGTGACCCGGCCCGGGTCCAACGGTCATATTTTAATTTTTTTTTGAATTGCTACTAGCCGTTATAGGTGGGCTGGGGACAACCCAAACGGCTATATAGCCGTTGGGTGGGGTGCAGGGGGGTCCGGGGGGGTTGGGTGGGGGGGGGGTAGGGGGTAAAAAACCCTATAAATACTCCTAATCTTAAACATTTTTTCATATCTCTTCTCCAATTCTTCCTAAATCCTATTCTTAACTCTCTACTCTCTAATTCTCTTATTCTCCATTCTCCAATATATTATATTTATTATTTATAGTTTATATTACTTATCTACTTATATAAACTATAAATAGATATAAATAGTATTACATTACTTATATTTGTTATCTAATTATATATTACTTATATATTTATTATATCTATTAATATAGTTGGAATTATATCTAATTAATTTGAAGTCATTCTATTACTCCCATCCGATTATCCGAAAGACCGAAAGTCCGAAAGAGGTACGAAATTATTCTATTATTTACACTTGTTTAATTTTGTATTAACGTTACTTGAAAAAAAAAACTAGTTAATTCACTAGTTAATTTGCTATAACTCGAATTAATAGTTAGATAAATAGTTAATTACTTTTTTACAATTTTTTATTAATTGCTACATTTGACTCTAGTTTAAAAAATATGTTGTACACAAAACTATTTAATTCACTAGTTAATTTGCTATAACTCGAATTAATAGTTAGATAAATAGTTAATTACTTTTTTACAATTTTTTATTAATTGCTACATTTGACTCTAGTTTAAAAAATATGTTGTACACAAAACTAGTTAATTCACTAGTTAATTTGCTATAACTCGAATTAATAGTTAGATAAATAGTTAATTACTTTTTTACAATTTTTTATTAATTGCTACATTTGACTCTAGTTTAAAAAATATGTTGTACACAAAACTAGTTAATTCACTAGTTAATTTGCTATAACTCGAATTAATAGTTAGATAAATAGTTAATTACTTTTTTACAATTTTTTATTAATTGCTATATTTGACTCTAGTTTAAAAAATATGTTGTACACAAAACTAGTTAATTCACTAGTTAATTTGCTATAACTCGAATTAATAGTTAGATAAATAGTTAATTACTTTTTTACAATTTTTTATTAATTGCTACATTTGACTCTAGTTTAAAAAATATGTTGTACACAAAACTAGTTAATTCACTAGTTAATTTGCTATAACTCGAATTAATAGTTAGATAAATAGTTAATTACTTTTTTACAATTTGTTATTAATTGCTACATTTGACTCTAGTTTAAAAAATATGTTGTACACAAAACTAGTTAATTCACTAGTTAATTTGCTATAACTCGAATTAATAGTTAGATAAATAGTTAATTATTTTTTTACAATTTTTTATTAATCGCTACATTTTTTAGATGGATCGTCCTAGATATTCGGTTGATATGGGTAACCTCGAGCGCAACCGAACGAAAGAGCTTGCGAGGAAGAGATCCCGCAAAGGTAAATCACATATCGGCTCTTCATCTCAAAGTCGAGATGATTTTGATACGGGTTACGCAAGGAGGGATGGGGATGCGATGACCGATGAACAACTAGAACAAGAATTGCACCGACATAATTCCCGCTTTTTTCAAGACCAACCGAGGACCATTGACGAAGAAGAGCTCGAGGACGAGGACGACGATGTGGAGGAAGTAATTCCGGAGAGCCACGACGAGGAGGAGGAGGAGGGTGGCGGCAGCCATGACGCCGACCAACCTGCCTCATCCCAAACAGGTACAAAAAAAAGTAAATCTGAACTAATGGCTAATAATTTTTCTAAGTGGAAGGACCCGAACACCGGGAATTGGACCGCAACTTGCAATTGGTGCAAGAAAAACTATAGCTTGGGGATTTCCGGCGGATACGGATCCGCCACAAGACACCTTAAGTCCAAACACCTGGTGGAGTATGAAAAATTAGGCGGCGGAACGGGGAAGCAAACGCAAATATCGAGGTTTGCAAATAACCAACAAGCTTTTGGTAATTTCACATACAATGATGCACAAAATTTGACAGGTATGGCTAACTTACTTGTTGAAGAAAATTTGCCTTATTTGTTTTCTGAAAGTCTTGCTTTTCGTGATTATGCACAAACTTGTTTAAATCCGCAATATAGAGGTTATAGTCGCAAAACGGTTAAGAAAGAAATTTCAAGGCTTTATGGTGCGGAAAAGGTAAGGTTACAAAATTATTTTGCAAACTTTGATGGACGTGTTACTGTATGTTCTGACATATGGGAGGATACTTATCATAATTTACATTATTTGGGTCTGACTGTACATTATATTGATAATGATTGGCATATGCATAAACGCGTTCTTGCTTTCCGTGAATTTAATGATCGTCACACCGCTGAACATATTTATATTTTGATTGAGCGTACTTTAATTGAGTATAATTTAATTGATAAGGTGTTTGCTATTGGTTTTGATAATGCTACTAATAATACTGCTGCTATTCCTAGATTGCGTGAATTGTGTGGTTCTACTTCTTTGATGGGTAGATTTTTTCATCAACGATGTGCATGTCATGTTCTAAATTTATGTGTGCAAGATGGTCTAAAAGCGTTGGGAGCATCGTTGGAGGTAGTCAAGGGGGGGATTAGACGTATTTGGGGTAATGGACAACTTAGGAAAAAATGGCATGATTATTTGATAGAAAGAGGTGAGAGATATGTGGCTTTTCCTAAAGATTTCTCTATTCGTTGGAATAGTACTTATAAGTTAATTGGAGTTCTTCTTAGATATAAACAACATTTTCCTGCTTTTATGAAACAATATGATAACTATATTACAAACTCGGCTGAGATCGACACCTGTGAAAAAATTTGTAATGCTTTGATATATTTTAATAATGCAACTGAAACTTTTAGTCATGTTTATAAACCTACCTCAAACCAATTTATTCGTGAAGCTGTTAATCTCGCCGGTGCTTTTTCAAATTTTGAGAATGTTGATTATGTGAGTTATTTTGCTAGTTTTTTGAAGGAAAAGTTTTTAAAATATTATTCACATATTCCGCATATTTATGGTATTGCATTTGTTCTCGATCCTCGTTTTAGACTTGGTTCTTTAGAAGAATGTTTGAATTATTATTATGCTGCTTTTTTTGGTCCATTGCCAATGTATGAGGACAACCCAATTGATCCGAAAAAAGAATACAACGAGGTTAGTGATATATTTTATGCATTATTCAATGAGTTTCATGCACAATATGGCAATGCCCCCCTCCCCCGACACAAACATCATCTAAAGGAAAATCAATTTTCAAATCTACGTTTGCCAATCTTATTAAAAAAACGAAATCAACTCCCGCTACACAACAAAGCACAATTAATGAGATTTCTTTGTATTTAACTTATGATGTTGATTTTGAAGAAGATGATGATTTTGACGTACTAAATTGGTGGAAGGGAAAAGAAAGAATGTTCTCGGTTTTAGCAAAGATGGCTAAGCAAGTGCTATCAATGCCGGTTTCAACGGTTGCCGTGGAACAAGAATTTAGTTCGGCCGGCAATGTCCTAACACAAACCAGAATGAGGTTGAGCGCTGAATCTCTTGAGATGCTTATATGCTACCACGATTGGTTGAAAGCAGCCCGTAGAGCTCAAGAAATTGACATCACCCCATCCCAACACTTTATGGATGAATCTACAACCGAGGGTGGCTCTACCTATGCCGGAGATTCCGATTGAAATTTGAAATATTGAATGATTGATTAGTATTTCATATTTTAAAAACAATTATAGTTCCTATTTAATTTTCAAATGTAGTTCCTATTTCATTTCAAATAAATGCACTTGAAGTTTGTTTTTTAATACTTGTATAAAATATAAAGTATAAAATATAAATTTTAAAAAAATATTTAACCGACCCGGCCCGGCCCGGCGGGTGGCCCGACCCGAACCGGACCCGTCCAACCCGCGGGCCGGTCCCATGCCCATGTGATACGAACCGGCGGCCCGACCGGGCCTAGGCCCGGCCCGGGCCCGACCCGGCCCGAATCCACCCCTAGCCGGAACCCGCGGCTGGCCTATTTCAACTCATTTATTGGTAGGTTAGACTTGTCGTTTTCTGACCCAATTGGTGTGTGTGTTTGGCGGGTCAACCCATATGGGCTGTGGGTTAAGTGGGTTGGCTCGAATGGGTGGCAGGTTGGCCGGCGGGCCAAAATCTGAATATATAGTTTTGACAATCATCATCTTCAACTCATTATTGTTCTTTTACTACCAAAATTATTACAATTACAATTATATACTTATCATTTTACAACCATTCACTAGTGGAAAATGGTTAATTAGAGGCGCTTCATTTGAGACGCTTTAAACAGAAAGCGCCTTGGTTATTCTAAAAAAAGAATTTTAGACACGTGCGGCGCTTCTTGACATATAAGCGCCTCTAATTTTATTTTATTTGTTACCTTCGTCCCATGTGCGGCGCTTCTGTCAAAAGAAGTGTCTCGAATCAAAACAAAATTAAAAATTATGGAAAGTGTGCGGCGCTTCTCGTAAAAGAAGTGCCTCGAATCATAAAAAATAAAAATTATTACTCAAGCGTGCGGCGCTTGTACTGTGAAGCGCCTTTAATAGGTTTAAATTTTTTAACCTACGCGCTTGCCCCCTTCTTCCGGTTCTTAGGCGGCAAGAATAGATCTAATTAAGGACCTGGACAGCTTCGATTCTCTTCGACAACGACGACCAGCGGCCGACAACGACCACCACAACCGTACACCGCCGCTCCGGAGCTGTGCTGAGACGACTGTCAGCCTACCTACTCCGCACTGACCTACGACCTCGACTCCCTGTGACTGACCTGCGACAAAGAATACCTACTGCGACGAGCAGCTGCGACAACGAGTTTCGATGACCGGCGAGTTGACGTCCTAGTCGCAGCTCTGCCGCCGCTAGGACACTCAATTCAGACATCGTCCAGCAGCCTCGTCACCTCCTAGCCGCTGCTCTGTCGTCGTTGGGGACTCCGACTACGTGCCGACCGACTCTTAAACTAGGTCAGCAACATAATCTTTAATCCTCTGCTGTTAATAAATTCAATTTATTTTTATTTTATGGTCAAATATTCTGGTTAATATTCTGATGTTAATAAATTCAATTTATTTTTGTTTTATGGTTAAATAATCTGATTAATATTATGTTGTTAATAAATATTATGCAGTTAATAAATTCAATTTATTTTTGTTCAATTTATCTTTAATATTCTGATTTTCAGTTTATTGGGTAATTTAAAAAAATTCATTTTGGCTTAGGAGCGTAAAACAAGCACTTGGCCGACTACCCGATTTTTTGATCATTGATAATAATCTATTTCGTTGTATTTTGTATCATGTCAAATTCTACCTATTTTATCATCTACAATTACTTTAAACTTTACATTTTACTTCATGTTTGTTTATGGTTTCTTAAACTACATATGTGTTTCTGGTTCCTAATATCGATATTCGATTTTCTAGAAAATATTGGAGTGAATATGTACGTTAATTTTTCTTTTGTAATTTACATCATATATTTATTTTAACAGTTAACTTTACACCCTCACCCTACTCGAGATTAAAAAAGAATTAAAATATGAGACGTAAGTCGAATATTAGGGAAAACATGCTGCAAAACTGAAAATGTCAAAAAAAAAAAAACAACCATACTAAATTTATAACCGGCCTAGCAGGTTTTAAGGGGGAAAGCCGGATTCAGATGAAAACTGAATGTGAATGCAATGGTGGATGAGAATAACATTTTCTTAATTAGTTACAGTTTTTCCCACTCAGTCGTTGACATTCATGTAATTTCCATGTTTATGTTTGTGTTTTTAATTAGTTTAGTTGATTGTTACTTTGGAAATTACACACTTTTGATGTAATAGTTTAGTTTGTAAAAATATTTGTAATTTGTTTAGATTAGGTTTATTCTGAGCTCAAACAGGTCCAAGATCACTCTAAGGACCATTGGTGAACATTACAAATGGAAGGAAGGTGCAAAAATCTCAAGACAAATTGAAGATTCTGATTTTTGGTGTTGTACCCGGTCGGGTATGACCTATACCCGATCGGGTAAGTCGCTGAAAAATCAAATCGAATCAACCCGGGAACAAGACAACATGCAGGGGAGATTTTGACCACGATTGAGTGTTCATACCCGATCGGGTGCCCGACATACCCGATCGGGCATGTCCCAGTTTTTTATACTTACGCCAAGCAATCGAGTACCCGATCGAGTGCCCTTACAGCCCGATCGGGTACACGACCCTGCAAGCCTAAAAAGCCTATAAATACATCTCATTTCCTCCTCATTAATTCACCAATTCACATATACTCTTAAGCTCAGTTTAGAATAACATTCCTTTATATTTTTCTAGCTATGTTTAGTCTCCAAATGAGGAGCTAAACTTCCATATCTTGGTTTTGCTCTTGAAGCTTGTTGATTATTAAAGTTGTGAGTTATTTTCTTAACTTCTTCTCTTGATTATCAATTCTTCCCTTAATCTCATTCTATATTAATGTTGGAGGATTGCTAAGTGACGATTAGTTAACGTTCCGACATTAATTACTACTAGAAACGATCAATGAACCGATGGTTAATCGTTGATGGTTTCACAAGTAAGTAACTTCGGTTTATTAATGCACGGTCGTGGTTAATAAACTTAAGAGGGATTAATTTTGGTGGTTAAACCAAAACCGTTGTGTTGAGGTTATCAATCTCAATTGATTTCATCAAGGAGTTTAAGAGATTAAATGCTACTATTGAATCGGTATACGGCGTTGTTCTATATTTGATTAATAGTAAGAGTTATTAATGAACGGTCGTTGTTAATAACTACCCTCGATGAATTGGAGATACTCCTCGATTGAGTATTCGAGAGGGGATAAGTTATAGATATAACAAGGATCGGCTAAATATATCAACAAGTGGAAAGTAGCAAAGCCAAGTTCTTTTTATCTTTGAATTAAATAACATATAAGTTGTTCATCTTAGTTTTTAATTAAATTATTCAACCCCAAACCCCCCTTTAATTACTAGTTCATAAAAAGAAAAGTATTCATTTCCCCGTGGATACGAACTCTACTACGCTATACTACGTATAAGTGTTAAGCATTGAATTTGTTTTGACGCACTATGACAAAGTGCTCGTCAATCGTATTAATTTTTCTCTACGCATGAGAATAGACTTTTTTCACTATGTCTACATTATGTTCTCAGATGGATCGTAGTTGGATGTATGGTCTTCAGAACACCTCTGAATTTTTCACGGGTGTTAATGGGTTTATAAAACATGCTCTTGCACACCAAAAACAACAAGGCCATATAGGGATTTTATGTCCTTGTTTGAGGTGTCATAATTTAAAAAAAAAGAAAATGATGCCAATGTTGTTCTTCAACACTTGCTTCAGAGAGGCTTTAGAGAAAATAATAGAATATGGTCGTTGCATGGTGAAACTTGTGTAGATGATGAAGTTGTTGCACGACCTACTTCAGAGAGGCTTAAGTGTAATTTATGTATATATTTATATATGTGTATCGTGTTTGTTGTTGAATTTTTTTTAGGAACCACAATTTCAACACAAAAAAAGAGATGAAGAAGAAGCAAACACCATTTGTTGAGAGAGATCCTCCAAAAGTAACGATTGCACCTTCCATATGCCCGTTAGTCAGTGAGAGCATACTTGATACTCTTACAGATGATGTTTTGGAGTTACATGAGGCATTGCAGTGGTTTGAACTTGAAAATTGTAAGTTCTCTGTCCATCTTTCTATAGATGTTTTATGTTTTTCAGGAAAATCATCCGTTTGGGGCTACAATTGATCGTGATGAGTTGTCTCAAATTCTTGAAGGGGACTCACTTGAGATTTGTATCATTCAGACTTTCTTGATGTAAGTATTAAATATACATTACTTTTAAATTAAGTAAATGTTTTTTAGGTGCTTTAAGTGTGATAGTATTTATGTATGTGCATTTGTTTAAAAGATAAGTTAGTTGAGCTTGGCCGTGACGACATTGGCTTTTTGTGCCCTCACCTGTGCTCTTTTGAACATTATAAATTGGACAAAAAAGGAACAATGGCTTACTTGAAACATACTTTGATAGAGTTCTTTGAAAAGTCATTCATTTTCCTTCCATACCATGAAGGGTAAAACATATACTAGTACAATATATCTCCATTGAAATAATTCTTGTGATACGTTATTTATTTATTGTGTTATTTTATACAATATATGTATCATTGGATTCTGCTTGTCATTTGCCCTATGGTCGATAAGGGATATATTTTTGATTCCATGTCGAGTTCTTCTACCATTAGTATTAAAAGAGACTTAACAACGTTAGTATTATATATTTGTTTGAATAAAATTAATTTACATATTAATATATAAACACATGTATATATGTTAACATAATGTTTGTTTGAATTTGTAGAATGTATAGGGTTGCATCTGCACAAAAAGGTCGCGGTAAGCCAATTAAATGGAATAGTGTGAAGGTATGTTCCATCCTTTCTATCCTACAACTAATCTTAGGAAAGTAAACTTGAAATATAATTTTGATTCTTATACGTGTGATGTGAACTATACAGGTTGCACAACAAACCGGAAGTACTGAATGTGGATATTATGTCATGAGATTCATGTGAGAAATAATATCATACTTTGAAAATCATGATATTGGAAAGGTATGAATAAATTGTGAGTTTGCAAAGTTATTATATATATATATATATAATATATATATATATATATATATATATATATATATATATATAGGGTGCGGTTCCAGTGAGAATGAAGTCTTAGGAGAGAAATAAGAATGAAATCTAGCCATCTATTATAAGAAAACACGGTGAAGATTGAATATAAAATAGTGTAGTAATTTTGTAAATAAGTAGAACTTTCAAGGGGATATTTTATGTTGACACTCGTTGCATTAATGATAAGGATACTTACGTAAATTGCTCATTTCTTCCGTTTCAAAACATTAACTTCTTCCCTAAAAAACTCATTTGCTAATTTACTATACGAGAGTTTTTCAAAGACCCACATCACATCATTAAATGCAATACATCATAAACTCTTAACACTTAAATTAGTTTACATTAAAAAATTATCATTTTCTAGACACATGCTTTTCTACGTGAATAGAAATTCCCAATTGAGTAATTTTTTTATGAATCAGTGAAAAGTGCAACACATTTCTGGTAAAGTGCACGTGTACAAAATATTATCTACAACTAATGTGCATTAAAGACAGTAGAGGTGTGCTAATATATATGCTTAAGTAAATATGTAAAATAAGTATGTTGAATCATGTAAACATAATATAAGAAAGTAATTTTATATTATTTTCTTTAGATGAAATGTGTAATACGTAATATATAAAAGTGTAACACATTCCTGATAAAGTGCATGCCCATAAATTATTAGGTTAGATGTTATGTGCATTACATATAGGTGAAATGTGAAAATTCGACCAACTAAATAATATACAATAAGTAAACTGTATTGGAAAGTAACTATGGTGTCGAATATTGTACATAAGAGATTAGAGTAATTATTTATTATGACTATATGCACAAGATATAGTTTACATTTGCACATTAGGTTAATAATTATCAGTATGCATAACACAGTCTAGAATTGTGCATGTTAATTTAATATAAAATGCAAAAAGCTAAGCTTATACAAAAGTGCATAATTTTTATATGTTATGCCACTCGAAATGTTTAAGTGCAGTCAATAAAAAAAGTCAAGTGCACTTTTATTCATTTTGCACTATACATTAATAAGTGTGTCATGCACTTTAAACATATATATTATGCCCTATTCAATTCATATATAATAAATATTCACAAAAAGATAGTGATTTATTTTGATGAGTTTTTCATATATAAAGATATGTTTGGCGTATTCATCATTTGAGTTTTATATTCATTTATTGATATTTAAAGTGCATAATTTGATTGAGATAGGTACAGAATCAAATTAATGCAATTCAAGATATCTGATGAATACACTAGATTGAGATGACATATTTTACATGGGTTGTCATAAAACTAAAAAATACTCCATGTATCAAAAGTGCATAGAAATATATACTAAAGATGATGGAAAAATAACAAAAAATAACTAAAGAATAATAAAAGTGGATAAAACTTACCTAAAAAGATACTCCGTATATATATTAAAAAACAAATTGACGTACACTCATGAAAATTAACTTACCAATTACAAAGTTTGGACATTAATTAAGGGGCTTGGTATTAAACATAGAAAGATCGTAAATGACATAATCACCCTATACATTTGCACACGGTACGTTAACTAAATTTGATGATCTAATGGTTGATATCTATTCTTATTTCTCTCCTAAGATTATATTCTCACATGAACCTAAATCTAAAACAATAACACAACCTATTTTCAATTCTTCCACAAATGTTAAACAAGTTCAAGTAACAACTTAGTACATAATAATAAGCTAAAACAAAACAATCCTTGCACAAGTCTAGAGTAATAACACATTATATAAAGTTACTAGTCTCATCATCACTCAAAAACAAGAAACACGTTCATCATGTGTCGTTGATGGATTGCGTCATTTCTAAGAAATATGATGAGAATGGTTCCGTTTTGGCGAATCGCTACAAATTAAATAAGAAGGTTATTAAAAAACATTACATGTAGCAAACCTATTGAATGTAACTCATCCTACATTTCAAGAATTACCGCCGAAACAGTATTCAACATACGCAACATCACATAATAACCACATTCATAACTCCCAACTTGCATTCGAGACTACAGGTTAGAACAACATAATTACTAATCACAAATACGATATTCGACTTGGTGCTACACAAATGAAAGTAAAAATAACATAACATGAGTTGAGCCTACGGCTTGCCTCCATTGCACTATGTAATTTATAATATTATATATATATATATAATAAGTTATTTATGTAATTAAGATATACAATATATATTCCACAATTAAACAAAACGGAGTGTACAAAATACTTACGCATCAATACTATTTTTGAATTTTCTATTTGGCTTATTCCCCAAAGAACACAAGAAGACAATAGTGTTTTGGACATGAGAGAGAATAAAGAGCTGCCAATGATTCCTGTACAACAACAACAAAAACATCCAAGCCTTAAACCCAAAAGAATTTGGGGTCGGCTAACATGAATCGATCTATGATATCGATGCCAAAAAGAGAAGGCGGACAAGAAAAGGAAAAAAAAAGTAAGATAAAATGAATAAAATAAAGATACATAAATATAAGATAACAATAACACAAGAATATAACCAAGATAAAAGAAAAATAACTAAAAGAGCATAAAAAAGCTAGAAGATAAAAATAACATAAGAGTATAAAAAGATAAGGAAGATAAACGATAAAAGAAACAAAAGAGGAAAGGTAGACAAGACATCAATCGTCCACATGGATGTGCGCCCTCCACTTTGCTCTCTCCAAAGCCATACTCTTTGTCTCTCATCCAACCCAAGAAGACGCATATCAGTTCTGATTACTCTAATCCAAGTCTCTTTGGGTCTTCCCCTCTCTCTCTTCTCTGACTCTTCTCCCCACCCCTCAAGTCGTCTAACAGGTGCATCACTCGGTCTTCTATGCACATGCCCAAACCACCACAAACGAGACTCCTGCATCTTATCTTCTATAGGTGCTACTCCCACCTTTTATCTGATTACCTCATTCCTCAGGCGGTCTTTTCTGGTATGTCCACACATCCAACACAACATACGCATCTCTGTCACACTCATCTTTTGAATGTGGCATTGCTTCACCGCCCAACACTCTACGCCATACATTAATGCCGACCTAATTGCGGTACGATAAAATTTACCTTTCAGTTTAGTCGGCATACCTCGATCGCATAGAAATCCTGAAGCACTTTTCCATTTCATCCACCCAGCTATGATTCTATGACATACATCTCCATATAATTCACAATCCTTCTGAATTATGGATCCCAAGTAACGGAACATATCACACACCGGTATCTCCTTACCATCAAGAGTAACCCCACTGTTGCTACTGCTTCTACCTCCACTGTTGCTTTGCCAATGATTCCTGTATACATAAAAAATAAGATAAAAGACAAACAATAATTTAAAAAAAGAATATTACATAAAAAAACATTTTATACAAGAGTAGGGGTATTTTAAGGGAAAAGGGTCAAATTGGACACTATGATTGTATGAGAATATCATATTGGACACTAAGGTTTCAAATGGACCAAATTGGATACTATGGTTACTTTTGTGTCTCATATCAGACACTAAAGTTTCAACTTGATCAAATTTTACATTTTTCTGATCATTTTTGGACACCCATCGAAGATTTTCACCTCGAAAGATATAAGTATTCCTTTTTCTCTTGGTTTTATGTACCTAAAAAAAACTTAATTTGTGTATTTAGATTTAGAACATATAATTAGATGTTCCAATTAAGAAAATCTATTATAATGTAATTGAATTCTTTAATATTTTTAAATCAATCTAACAAATCGATATTTCTTAAAGTTCCATAAAAATCATATGAATGAAAAGTCCTAAATATATTTTTAAATTGTTAAATATAAGAAATTATTAATTAAAATCAAATTATATATTCTAAAACTTCAAATTAAATATTTCAAAATTATACACGTAATTAAATTGGTTTACTTTCACAAAAAAGGAAAGGAAATGTAAGACTAACAATTTCTAATAAAGGAAGAAGAGAATCATCAGTGAGTGTCCAAAAACTATCAATTATGAAATCTCAGTGTCCAATATGAGATACATATATAACCATAGTGTCCAATTTGGTCTATTTAAAACCTTAGTGTCCAATATGAGATTCTCATGAAACCATATTGCCCAATTTGAGCCTTATCCCGTATTTTAAAAGTGACTTAAGCTTCAACAAATATGTGTTCTAGTAACTTTTACTTACTGGTAATAATAAGGACCCAAGTAACATTGCTTTCCGCCTTCATTTAATCTTGTAGATATATGCATTTGCACCTCATTTATATAAATATTTGATACAAGAGTAGGGGTATTTCAAACTGATGCTTCTTAATTAGAAAGGCTTTCAATTTATAACTGATAGTTTATGCTTTATAACTATATAGTTTATACTTTATAACTTCATAATCAAATTGATATATTACTTTATAACTGTATAAACTATAAAGTTAGCTGAAGTAAATACTACAAAGTAAAAACTTCTTACATTTTGAGGGGAAAGGTGAAACTGTAGAAGATTGCCAAAGGTGTGTCGGCGGAAGAAACTTTTGTGGTAAAATTTTGATAAGTATGTGTGAAAATTTTCAAATACAGAAAAAAGTTTTAAGATATTTAGGACTGATTACAAGGTCAAATAAGATATTTAGCAGCCACGATAAGTACAGAGAAAACTTTTAAGTATGTTAACTCACCTGTGCCATCCCTCTTCCTCAAAAGTAGCCAACATATTACGATCATCATCATCGCCAACATATTTGTTGGGATTATACCTGCAAAAAACACATTGCCCTATATCATTTCAGAACTATAAATGCATATAAAAACACACTACAAACTTTAGTCTCAAAAAACATCATTTCCCCATGACGCTAAAAACAAAATGTTGAGGTCTAGAGGAGGGCATTGCATGTTTCTGCATTGCCACATGGGGAATCTTGAGGATGTCCTAGTTGATGGTTTTTGAATCATCTTAGACTTGCTAGATTCTTGAGATGCCTTTTTTTCCAACAAAGCTTGCTTTGAATTGGCAGTATGTTGTTATTTCGAAGGATTTGATCTGGGCAAGTTAGGCAATGGTCTCTTTACGTATGATGTTGAAGCCTTTGAAGGAAGACTTTTCTGTACGAGCTGAGTACGACCATTGACATTGCTTTTAATAGGTTGTCTGTTTAAGCAAGAATTAAACTACTCTAAATTTATATGTATGTAGGGATCGTACAAGAAATAAAGTATGAAAACCGAAGGATTAATGAATGAAAATGTATTAATCTCAATATATCCCACAAGGAATGGTGTTACAAATGCTTCTTTTATCAAGCCAGGTTGATCGTGTCTCCCTATTCTAGGTTTTCCTCTATTTATACAGCAATAGAACTCTATCCGTTTAGTGCAACTGCCCGCCGGAAATGTCGCCGAGTCCCTAGGTCCCGTCATTCAGTTGAGCACTCCTACTAAGTCCACCCTTATCCGCTTCGTTGGTAGATTGTTTAGTTGGATTCCGCCTCTTAGGGATGGGCCGACCTATTTACACTTCCGTGGCCCAACAATTGCCCCCAATTCAAAGAAGAGGAGGGCGCCAATTTCAAAAAAGTTAAAAGCCAACCGTTTATTTGAATTTTCATCATGACATTGCCTCGGAAGGTGTAAGGCCGTCAGCCGTTCAGTATCAATCAATTACTCACCTCTTCCTCCCTAAGTGAATCAGTTCAGCAAGAAATATTTCCTATCTCTACCTTTCGATTCTCTTCAAATCCTGGCCAACACCTTGGTTCTTCATGGCTTCACAACCCTTCATTCCGCAACATATTTTAGATCCGAAGAACTCCAAGCAAGCGAAACTTTCCGAACATCATGTCGACTTTATCAGATCTTCCATCGGCTTTCCTCATGATGCGGTTATTCGCTTTCCAGCAGCGAACGAGAGGATAGATTGGTTCTGTGATGGTTGGGTAAACTTTCTGATGTACCCTTTCAAGATAGGTATGAAATTCCCATTCTCTCATTTAGTCCGAGACTTTCTTGCTTTCGTCAGAGTATCACCTTCCCAAATCATGCCCCAAGTATGGAGAGTACTTAGAGCTTTAGAGGTCTTGAGTGAGAAACATAGTCTGGCCCTGGGTTTTGAAGACTTGGGTTTTACCTATGACCTCAGATCCTCAGGAGCCGGTCGCTTCACTTTAGCAGTGAAAGAAGGGAAAGAAGCTCTAATTCACAAGGTGGACAAAGCTAATGACCGGGGATGGATGAATTTGTACTTCTTTGTAAATAAAGAATCTCTAGGTTCTGATGGATCATTCTTGGAGGAGAATTTACACAAAGGTTAGTTTCTCTTTCGAATCGTGTTTCGTGATTTGTTCGGTTGATTTCCGTCTTCAACTTTTGTTATTTGATTCGTAACCTCTAGTGTAGATATTGGAAATGGGTAATTTCAGAATATTTTTGCGTTCTTGGATATATGTATGAAACTTGATGTATTTAGCATTGTTCCTCTGTGTCGCGCAGAGAGGAAGACTATCCCACTGGTTCCCGGTCTGCATTCTGAGGAGAGAAACGCCAAGATCCTTTCGTTCCCTGTCGAGGATCGAACTTATGTGAATCTGGTATCAGACTTTCAAGGTACGTCACCTCTTCCCGTTGAGTCTGATTGTGCGGGGTTAAGGCGATCTCGTAGGCATACTCCCACCGCACATGATTTGAATCAGAATTCACATGTCGTTTCCGTAGAAGATTCAGGTCAAGGATCTGAAGCTTCCAAAGATGACGGCGATGGTATGAGTGCTTTCGTTCCCCTTCAAGTCGTGTTTCCTACTGCTAAAAGCACCCCCATGCCTCCATTCAAGAATTCTACTCCTATTACAGGTATTCTCTGAGATTTACGCTCTTCTTTATTATCGTTGGATCTATTAGTCTTAACTTCTGTTCTCCTTAATTTGTGTAGCTACTTCATCGAGTACTTCTCGTTCCGTTCCTTCTGACCATGATTTGTTGGCTATGGCATCGAGGAGGAAAAGGATGCCCTCTAAATTATCAGCAAATCCTCCAAAGATCCCCAAATACCCAATGCCTGATACCGCTACCACTCCTGATACCCCTAATGCGGAACATGGGGTTGATACCCGAACGAAGCCGCCACAAGCTATGCACTTATCACTTTCCTCGGAATTTTGTGAACTGAAGGACGCTCTGATTATGAAAGACGAGATGGCCCAATTTCAATTGGCCTCTGCTACTTCCTTTTTTGACTGCTTGCCTCCTACCGGTGTCATTGCTGCCTCCTCCGCTTATGCGTTTCAGGTGCTGATGGACCACCATGCTTAATGAACTCCCTTCCTTTTTTCTCTTGATTAAACTGTCTTGTCTTTTTTCAGAGTATTCAAGCGAGCCTTGTTGCTGCTGCTCGTGTATCTTCATTAGAGAAAGCCGTTGATGAATTGAAATAGAAGGAGACTTCCCTAGTATCTTCTCTTGATAAGAGTGCAAAGTTAGTTCGAGAATTGGAAGACAAAAATTCTACTCAATCTGCCCAGATTCTGTAGCTCAATGCCAGAGCCAAATCCTTGGAGGCTTATGGTCGAAAAAAGAAGCAAGAAGTAATTGACGCCGCTTGCTATTATGTCTGGAAGACCAGGGGTGAGTTAATGACATCCTTTATTAAAGGAGAAATGACACACCAATCAGCGGAACGGGACGTAGCTACATGGAATAAGTTGAGGGAAGAGATGGATCCTCCTGTAGGAGAAGACGGCTTCGAGGTGGGTCACTCTGACGATGATATTGATCTTTAATGTTTACCGGTCAACTGGTTATGCTCCCCTTTTTCTCGCTGGATTACAAACACTCCCTACTTTTGAATTACTCTGACACTTTGCGCTTTGCGTTAAGGGTTCCCGGTGGTTTATCTGGGACTTAACGCCTTATCACGCTGCTCACAAGCTTCATGCTTGGCGGTTTAGGCTGGCCCTGTCCACACCACTATGTGGATCTGTCACTGTTTTTGCTATTGTTGGGATCATAATTTTGTTTATGTGTACTCTGTTGTGTATGCATGTCTGCTATTTATGTGTGCAATATGTCTTGTTGTGTCACAAACGCGTATGTGTTTTGGCCAAAAAGTACTCGGTTTCATGGAGCTTCATTTATGGATTTTTCATAATGAGTCCCATGTCCCCTGTATGTTGATGTTTTTGTCATGAGCAGATCTGATGTTCTATCTGTTGTTCTGGTATTTGGTCACCTGGTATTTTGATCTTAACCTGTCATAGTCCTGCGATGATACCGTTCCGTTGGGACCGGCCGTTGGTTTGGGGCCAACGGCCCTCCGACGGTCAAGTTAGTGAATGATGAATTGTATTTACTATATTCAAGATTACATGAACTGTAACTAATTACCTGTGACTTGGCCATTTTTGTGTGCCTTCCTGTATTTACAATTATCGTCAGGATTGGTCGTTGGCCTTAAGCCAACGGCCCTCCGACGACCAAGTTAGTTATTTAGTAATAGGGATAGAAATGCAGAAAAGGAAAGAAACTTTTTTTTTTTAAAATGGAAACGCTTTAAATGTACCGCATTCCAACTTCGAGGGACTTGTTTACCATCGATTGACTCCAGGCAGTATGCCCCCTGACCGATGACATCAATGATTCTGTAAGGTCCTTCCCAATTAGGACTAAATTTTCCGGCTGCTTCATTGCAAAATGCTCTCCTCAAGACCCAATCTCCCTTTTGAAATACCTTTGCCCGAACATTTTTATTATAGCTTTTTGCCACCATTTGTTGATATGTCTGCAAACGGATCTTGGCTCGTTCACGGATCTCGTCAATGGTATCCAAGTCGTGCACCAACTCCACATTGTTCAATTCCCCCATCATGAGTCCATAACTCGAAGAAGGTATTTCAATCTCGGCAGGAATGACCGCTTCGCAGCCATGCACCAGAGAGAATGGAGTTTGTCCGGTTGCATTTTTCGGAGTTGTCCTGTCTGCCTAGAGTATTAAGGGCAATTCGTCAGCCCATCGGCCTTGCGCCTTTTCAAGCCTTTTCTTTAAGTTGGCAATGATAATCTTGTTGCTAGACTCGGCCTGTCCATTAGACTGCGGGTACCTAGGTGTCGACGTTTCCAATTTGATATTGTATTTCTCACAAAAGCGTCTGGTTTTAGCGCTTATGAACTGAGATCCGTTGTCACAAACGATTTCTGAAGGAACGCCGAATCTGCAAAGGATATTTCTCTTAATAAACGAAATCACCTGGTCATCTCGTATCTGCCGAAAAGGCTCAGCCTCCACCCATTTCGAAAAGTAATCCGTCATTGCTAGCATATATACTTTCTGCCCCGGTGCCTCTGGCAATTTTCCTACAATATCCATGCCCCACTTCATAAAGGGCCACGGTGATAGAATTGGATGAAGCGTCTCGGAAGGCTGATGACGGATTGGTCCATGCATCTGACAAGGCTTGCATCTTTGGGTGAAGGTGGTTGCATCTTCTCTCATGGTCGGCCAGTAATAACCGAATCTAAGAGCTTTGTTAGACAGACTTCGCCCTGCTGCGTGATTGCCGCATTCCCCCTCATGAAGGTTTTTCAAAATTTTGGCGGCTTCTTGCGGTGCGAGACATCTTTGGAGTGGACCTGCGACAGATCTTTTAAATAGCACATCATCAATCAGTAAAAACTTACTTGCCTTAGATAGTAAAGCCTTGGCCTTTTTCTGTCCTCTGGGAGAGTATTGTGTTTTAAGTATGCTACGTATTGTTGTGTCCAATCGTCTTGTGCCGGGGTCTTAATGGTAGAGGCAACCTCTGATCTGAAAATTGTTGGGCTCATCAAGTGCACATAGGGGATGTTGCGATTGATTTCTGCCCCTAGACATGATCCGACGGCGGCCAGAGCATCAGCTTGTGTGTTTTCCTCGCGTGGGATTTGTTCAAGGGTTATTTCGTCGAATGCCGTTATCAATTCTCGGACAATTTGCAAATAAGATGTCATCTTGGGGTCCTTTGCTGCATACACACCGTTAGTTTGATTGATTATCAGTAAAGAATCACATTTTAACTCCAAGATTTTGACACCCAAGTCCCTTGCCAATGTGAGTCCGACGATTAGCGCCTCGTATTCTGCCTCATTGTTCGTAGCGGTGAAATTGCAGTGTACTGCTTGGAGCATGGTGTCCCCCTGTGGTGACTTCAGTATCACGCCCAGACCTGCGCCGTTTTGGTTTGACGCTCCGTCAGTGTGCAATGTCCATTTTTGCTTTGGGAATCCATCGATCAGAGTGCAAATCTCTTTTTCTGCTTCCTCTTGGAGCTTTGGATTGAAGTCTGCCACAAAATCTGCAAGTGACTGTGATTTCAAGGCTGTTCTTGGTTCGAATCTTATGTCATAAGCTCCAAGTTGAATCGACCATTTAGCCATGCGACCTGTTAATTCCGGTTTCCTCATGATTGACTTCATGGGATAGTTAGTTCTAACACAAATGGTATGTGATTCAAAATAAGGACGTAATTTAATCGAAGCAACGATCAAAGCTAAAACTAATTTCTCAAGTAAAGCATACCTGGATTCCGGTCCATTTAGGGATTTACTTACGTAATAGACTGGAGTTTCCTGACCCTGCTCCTCTTTTGTCAGTACTGCGCTGACGGCGTGCTCTGAAACGGCCAGATAGAGTTGTAGCTCTTCGTCATTTTTAGGCTTTGCGAGCAATGGTGGTGACATCATATATTCTTTTAATTGTTGAAGCGCCTGTTCGTGTCGATCTGTCCATTCGAATTTTTTGTTTTTTCTCAAGACGTCATAAAACAAATGGCACCTGTCTGACGATTTTGAAATGAAACGATTCAAAGCCGCAATTCGTCCTGTCAACCTCTGGATATCTTTGACGGATTTTGGAGGTTCAATGTCAATAATTGCTCGTATCTGTTCCGAGCTCGCCTCTATTCCTCGTTCACTGACGATATATCCCAAAAATTCTCCTGACGTCACTCCGAAAGTACATTTCGCTGGATTGATCTTCAAATTGTACTTTTTCAGTCTTCTGAAGGGTTCCATCAAATGATAGATATGATCCTCTTTTTTCTTTGATTTGACGATCATGTCGATATAAACTTCCATGGTGTCCCCCATTAGATCTTTGAACATTAAGGTGACTAGTCTCTGAAACGTCGCGCCTGCATTTTTTAGTCCAAAAGGCATAACAATATAACAATACGTACCTGTTTCAGTGATGAAGGCTGTGCTTTCTTGGTCATCAGGGTGAAGCTGTATTTGATGGTATCCACTGAATGCGTCCATGAAGGATAACATTTCATGCCCGGCCGTAGCGTCAGCCAAAGCGTCAATGTGTGGCATTGGAAATGAATCTTTGGGACACGCTTTGTTCAGGTCAGTGAAGTCCACACAGACTCTCCATTTGACTGGCTTGCCTTCTTCCTGCCCTTTCTTTTTCTGAACAACAACAACATTAGCTAACCAATCGGGATACTTTACCTCCTTTACCTTGCCGGTTCGGAGCAGCGTATCAACTTCCTGGTTTATAATGGCATTCCTTTCTTTTGCAAAGCGTCTTCTTTTTTGTCTGACGGGTTTGTGTAATGGGCTGACGTTTAACCTGTGAGTTATGATGTTAGGATCAATACCTGTCATGTCGTCGTGGCTCCATGCAAACACGTCCTTATGTTCTTTGAGGAAGTTTATCAGTTCGTCTTTGAGGTGCTTTGGTATGTCTTTCCCGATGCGGATGACCCTTTCTGGATGTTCTGAGTCGATGGCGACTTCTTCTGTTTTGTCGTCATCTTCCACCAGAGCGGGGCCACCCTTTAATTGCTATGCGATCGTGGAGGCAGTTTGGTCCGCAGTTGGCTTCATCGCCGTTTGGTAGCAGGATTTGGCTGATTGTCGATCCCCCTTGATGCTTTGTACTCCCCACGGCGTTGGGAACTTGATTATTTGATGATAAGTCGATGGAATTGCTCCCATTTGATGCAACCAAGGAGTTCCCAAGATCATGTTGTACGCTGGTATGCTTTCGACCACGTCGAATTTGACCTGCATGTTTAGACCATGGGTATATACGGGTAAAGAAATATTACCTACGGTTCTGCTTGGCTCTCCATTGAATCCGACCAAGCTTGACCCGGAACCTGTTATATCTTCCTCCTTGGCCCCCAGTTCTTCCAACGTTTTCATGGTGGTAATATTCGCGGTGCTCCCGTTGTCCACGAGGATTCGTTTGACTTCATAGTTTGCCACTCTAAGGGAGACCACCAATGTATCGTGATGAGACTGTACCGGATCAGAAATGTCCGTTTCGTCAAATGTGATTGACGCATTCCTCCATTCCTCTTGACGTTTTCCGATCCTATAAACCTGCAACGACTTGTCTCGGGTGTAATCCCGGGCGTGTCTTTTTGCTGCAGAATATGTTAGTCCACATAAATCAGATCCACCATTAATAAAGTTGATTACCTTACATGGCGCAGAGGGTGAAGGCGGCCTAGACTCATCCGGTGACGCCTTACCATCCCGTCCTAACAGTGATTTGGTGCGTTCAGACATGATCTCCGTCAGATAACCGTTTTTCAGCAAATAGGCCACCTCCTTCCTTAATGCGACGCAATCTTCCGTGTTGTGTCCGATATCGCCGTGGAAATCACAACGTTTATTCGGGTCTCGACGTCCCGCTGGTTTGTCCGTCCTTCGAGGCCATATGACCTTTTCCCCCAATTTTTCCAGAGAGTGAATGAGGCCCGGAGTGGCAACATTGAAACAATAGTCATTGATTACTGGTGGTAAGTCTGGATCATCGAGCCAATTTACTATCGACGAGACCGGTCTATCCTCGGTTCTGACATAGGGTTTTCCGGTCCTGTAATCGTGTTTTTTGGATGTGCTTGATTTACGTTGCCCTCCGTCATATGCATCCTGCCGATGTCGCGTCTGCTGATCTTCTTCCAGCCTGATGAAGGCCAAGGTTTTAGCCTCGACGTCTTCAAAGGTTCTGCACGGGTATTTCGTCAATTCCCGGTATAATTCTGAGTCGTCGGATAGGCCTCTCCGAAACGCTTCAACTGCTGTTGGTATATCGCACCGTGGAATGGAAACTTTTTCTTTGTTAAAACGGTGTAGGTAATCCCGTAACGATTCGCCGCGTCGCTGTATGATTCTGTAGAGGTCGCTAGTCTGTTTTTCAAGTATTCGACTACTCGCGAACTGATGATTGAATGAATCGACCAATTCTGCAAATGACTCGATACCCTCATTAGGCAGATTGACAAACCATTTGAGCGCTGGGCCAGCTAATGTTGCCCCGAAACCGCGACACATGCATGCTTCCCTTTGATCCGGTCGGAGCGATACGGCAAGCATTCGCTGTTTGTATTGGGCGACATGTTCCACCGGATCAGACGTGCCGTCGAACATTTTCATGGAGGGAACGTTGAATTTGCGTGGCACTTCGACATCTGTAATCTGTCTGCTGAAGGGCGAGTCCGCATAACATGTCTTTGAGGCCCGATCCAACGGAAGGGGTACTCCGGGCAATCCGTTGATCTTATCCTGCATCTGTCGGAGTTGCTCCATAATCATTGCTATCGGATCCACCTGGACTGGCTGAGTGGATTCCGGCGCCGAGACTGTCAATCCTGCCATCGGGGTTGCTTCGGGACGGGTTGGCGACGGAATGATTATGACCTCAGGGCGACGTCCTCCACGATTCTGCCCCGCTGACGCAGTTGGTCTACGCTGCCGTTGTGCCTGAAATACAGGTGGCAATTCATCGAATATACTCCGGGTCCCTTCCTGCATGAGACCAGACAGTCCGGGTTCGTCACGGGTTCTGCTTTGGTAATGAGTGACATATGGCTCCGTCGGGGATAGCGCACCTGACGTCATGGGTAGGCTTTGAGTGGCCGCCTGTAACCCCATCCTTCTTGATCCCGGGCGCAACGACTCCGGGAAGAAGCAGGTCGGAATTCTTGGGATAAGGGTCGTTTCAGGGATGAGAGGCGTGTACGGTATCACTTGAGATATGACGGTGGTTTGTGATTCCCCGGCCGGTGAGAGGCCCAACGTGAGAGATATGGGCTCGGAAGCGATGGTGGGCGTGTCCGTTGCCGTCGGAATGGATTCCAAATCTAGCCTTGTGACTACGGGCATAAGATCGTTCCTTCGATTGCCCCTAGAGTTGGATGCGATTGAGACTGCTGACTGAACTTGGGATCGTAATAGATCGTTCTCTCGTTGGGGGTGTGCCATCCTTTCCGCCAATTCCCGGCGAAACTCCGTTCGAACTGCCTCCATTTGAGCGTGGATTTCCTCTAACAACGGGCTGCTTCCGGTCATGGTTGATGATCTTTCCTTGCACAATGCCCCACGGTGGACGCCAAATTGTTTAAGCAAGAATTAAACTACTCTAAATTTATATGTATGTAGGGATCGTACAAGAAATAAAGTATGAAAACCGAAGGATTAATGAATGAAAATGTATTAATCTCAATATATCCCACAAGGAATGGTGTTACAAATGCTTCTTTTATCAAGCCAGGTTGATCGTGTCTCCCTATTCTAGGTTTTCCTCTATTTATACAGCAATAGAACTCTATCCGTTTAGTGCAACTGCCCGCCGGAAATGTCGCCGAGTCCCTAGGTCCCGTCATTCAGTTGAGCACTCCTACTAAGTCCACCCTTATCCGCTTCGTTGGTAGATTGTTTAGTTGGATTCCGCCTCTTAGGGATGGGCCGACCTATTTACACTTCCGTGGCCCAACATTGTTTTGCTGGAAGATTTTGCTTGGTGACACCGACCGGTTTATGTAAACTTGCTTTAGGTTACAATTGTGTGCCACCTGGAAGAGGAGGCCTCCTCACTTCAAGACCATTGGGAAGTTTTCTCCCAACGCTGCTGCTAGAGAGATTCCTATCCCTTGGTAAAGATTATGTTGAGCGTGATTCTTCAATGCGATAAAATAACTGTATAAGTCTACATAAAGTACTATGTGTATTAGACAGATATGATTGACAAACTAATAAATAGAAAAAGGACATACCCGGACTAGGAGCAGAAATCTGTTTGGGAAAAGAATGTTTTGGAGGAGCAGGAGGCGGAATAGCATCATCAGATAATATATATATATACTCGTATATAATACATACAGGATTACTAGCCCTCACGAGGCTGTCAAATCAGGTTTTATAATAAGGCCTTGCTTTCTTGAATTACTCTTTGAGCTATAACTGGCTGTGATGGACCAAAGAAAGAACAAAAACTGCAAGTACAGTGAGAACAAGGCTATAAAAATGGAACTCTTTTACTCTACAAAAAAACACTTCAACATACAAAGCACACACGCAAAATGGCATAAATGCATAGTATTTACCAACCATCTTATTAGGCACAAAAGTAAACAGGTACATACTATGATCTCAAAAGACACATTTCGGGTAGCTAGCTTAAAGAAAGCAACTAGCATCCTACTTACAAGTATGAAGTACATTGTGTATTTTTGCATTTAGCTTGTACGAGGAAATAATCATATTTGCATTTGAACAAACACTTAGCCTGCATAAAAAAACAGGACTATTGTGACTAATGCAGAAATAAAAAAATTATATAAGCAATGAATCAAACTGGAGTACAACATCACTTTAGCAAATAGCTACCTCATATAACTAGTTGGAGGAGTTCGCCTTTTGAATCAAACGAATTAAATATTAGGTTTTCAAAACTAATTTCAGCATTACCTTAAGTGAAGAACTAGCCTTCGATATCCCTATATAAATACTACATAAAAGGCATCAGTTTCTGTACCTGCAATCAACGCCGTCCTATTGCTCGCTTGAAAGCCGTCCTATGCTTGCTCGAACAAAGTCATATGCTCGCTCAAGACCTGCAATCGTCGAGCAGCTGCAACTATACGCCATAGTCGCGCACGCCAGTTGCCGCTGGTCGCTAGTCCAACTTAAGGCCAGGAGTATGCTGTTGGGTCCGTCTCTGGTCGCTCGTCGCTGGTCATTGGTCGTCCCCTGTCGCTGCACCGTTGAATTTGTTTGGCTAGGTTTGACATCCTGCTAAACAAATAGTTAAGGCTTTAACTCATTCAGGCTGGTTATACCCGATCTGGAATAAGGAAGGGCGGATTGTTTTCGCCGCTTTTCTAAATGGGTTTTAAACGATGTTAACACAACTTCTGTTAATTAAAAACATGACCCCGTTTTTTCTTTGACATCGGTTGCACATACAACTGATGTAAAATATTTAATAAAATTCTAAAATATACCCAGTTTCACTATTTAACATGGGGTATAACAAAAACACATATGAAGAAGTTTATAAAAATTATAAAAATGATCCCGTGTCAATATTTCACATGGGTTATACAATAACACATGTGGATAAGGTGATGTAAAAACCCTTTTTTGTACTAGTGTGTGTGTGTGTGTGTGTGTATATATATATATATATATATATATATATATTGTATTGTATTGTAATTAAATTAAAATATATTTGTGATCATTTCAATACATTTCAGGTATGGCGTTCAAGAAGTGAACCATACACATTAGCAGAGTTCAATGATATCAAAAATGTATGGTCAAGATACTTTCTTGATGCTGTATTGCAAAGTTGAGAAAAAACTATTTAGCCAAACAATTTATAATGTATAAATGTTGATTGGATTTTTAATTAAACACGTACTTGATTGTGCATTATGCTTTTTATAGATGATATGGTACTGTTTTTATCGGATATGTTTGATTGTATGGAGTTAGTTTTACGTATTATAAATAGGGAATCTAGCTAATTTTTAATACGAATACTTTTAATTAAATAAAATTTCAGAGGCGCTTCAACCGATAAAGCGCCTCTAAAACTATCCATTAAATTCAAATTTGGAGGCGCTTTGTTGCAACCAAACGACGCAAGCAACGTAAAAAAAACATTTCGAGGCGCTTTTGAGCAAATAAGCGCCGCACGCGTCTCAAAGATTTTCAAATTCAGAGGCACTTTTGTCAATAAAGTGCCGCACACGTCACATCGATTTTCAAATTTAGAGGCGCTTTTGGATAAAGAAGCGTCGCACGCCAAGCGAAAAAAAACAAAAAAAAACATTAGAGGCACTTTTTGCACAGAAGCGCCTCTAAAAACACGTTGCGGCACTATTCATTAGAGGCGCCATAAAGCACCGCACGTGTAAAAAAAAGCGCCTCTAAATGGTGTTTTTGCACCTGTAAATTGCAAAATTTCTTATATTTCTTTTATTACTACTTACCCATATAAATATACTTTATTACCAATATAAACTAAGGAATTTTTGAAAGAATATGGAGGGAGTATTATTTATGAAAACACTTTTGGATTAATTTGGATTTGTTTCTCTTTACAACAGTCAGATGTGATTCCTTTGGATTTGGTTGAAAACAGGTTGCAAACACGATGTTCGGTCTACTTGATGTGAGGTACAACAAGGATCCGATGATAGTCTGATAATTGGTTGCATTGACTGATTTCCCGGAAGGGTCTGAGCCTAGCTTGTTTGAGGGAGACATGTCGTCGATATATTTGGATTGATTTATGAAAATTTCATCTGACATTTGTCTGGTCTGTAGCCCAAGAAAGATCATCAACTCTCCCATCATACTCATCTCGAACTTGGTGCACATAGGATTGCAGAACTTTTTACAGAAATTTGGATTTAACGAAGTAAAGATGATGTCTTCCACATAAATTTGTATCAGCATGATGTCATCTTTAAGACGTTTGATGAAGAGAGTTGGATCTATCTTTTCTTTTGAGAATCTTGATTCCACGAGAAAATCTTATAATGCTTCATACCAAGCTCTCAATTCATGTTTCCGTCCGTACAAGGATTTTCTCAGCTTGTAAACATGTTTGGGTGTTCTGGATGGAAAAACCCTTCTGGTTGTGCAACATAGACCCCTTCCTTCAGGTCTCCATTCAAGAATGCAGTCTTAACATCCATCTGATAGGCGGTGAAGCTTTTGTGTGCAGTATATGCTAGAAACAACCTGATTGCCTCAATCCTAGCCACTGGTGCAAAGGTTTCATCGTAATCGATGTCTTCTTGTTGATTATAACCTTTTGCAAGCAGGCGAGCGTTCTTTCTTATGATAACACCGTCTTCATCCTTCTTATTCTTGAAAACCCAATGGTACCTATAATTGTTTTTCTATAAGGCCTCGACACCAGGGTCCAAATTTCAATCTGTCAAATTGATTCATCTCCTCTTGCATTGCAATTATCTAGTCCATATAAGGCAGTGCTTCTGCCATCTGTTTAGGTTCCTTCTAGCTCAGAAAACATGTGAATAAGCACTCATTGGCTGATGCGGTCCTGGTGCTTACTCCTTTTGATGGATCACCAATAATCATTTCGGGTGGATCACCAATGGAGTTATGTTTGGTTGAAAGATGTGCATGATAATTTTGAACAACAACCAAAATCATATGAAAGAATGGTTGATGTTGCTAGAATAATTTAAGTTGACATGGATGGAGTAATGTCAGTTTTACAGAGTTATTGACATTAATTCAAGAGATGTTGCCTGAAGGGAATACACTTCCAGATACAACTTATAAGGAATTAAAGTTATTGTGTCCCATGGGAGCTGAGTGGGAGAAATTTCATGCTTATCCCAATGATTGTGTGCTATACCGGAATGAGTAAGCAAACCTTGAAGAATGTCCAACGTGTCATCTTTCTCATTACAAGGCAAAAAGGAGTACAAGTTGTGCTAGTAAAACCGAAAGTTTCAAAGTTCATGCAAAAGTTATGTGGTATCTCCCCATTATTCATATATTTAAAAGGTTATTCATGAATGCAAAAGATTCCAAACATTTAGTTTGGGATGCTCAGGGTAGAAAAAAAGATGAGTACTTGCGTCATGTGTCTGATTCTCCGCAATTGAGGCAAATTGACTTGAAATATCCTGAATTCGGCAGAGAGGACAGAAATTTGAGACTTGGTCTATGAACAGATGGTATGAACCCATATGGTACACTCAGTAGTCAACACAGCACTTGGTCAGTTCTAGTAGTGATTTACAATTCGCCCTCATGGTTGTGCATGAAACACAAATATATCATGTTGTCTCTTCTTATCTCGAGACCCAAACAACCGGGTAATGATATTGACGTGTACCTTACACCGCTTATTGATGATTGATCTAAAACTATTGTGGACCGAAGGTGTTACAACATACGACATGCACACCAAATCTTATTTTCAAATGTGTGCTATGTTGTATTGCACTATAAATGATTTTCCAGCATATGGAAACCTTTCAGGTTACACGGTCAAAGGTGCAAAAGCATGTCCTATATGTGAAGATGATACATCTGATTTGTGATTGGATCATTGCAAAAAAATGTTTACATGAATCATCGAAGGTTTCTTCCGCGCATGCACTCATCGTTATCGTGCATTGAAGAAGGCATTTAACGGAAAAACTGAGCATGAAATAGCTCGTCCCCCATTAAGTGGTCATGATGTGTATGATAGGGTGAAAGATGTGAACACAATCTTTGGAAAACCTTATAAGAGGAACAAGCAGAGCCTTTGGAAGAAGAAATCTATATTCTGGGAGCTTCCTTATTGGAAAGACCTACCAGTAAGGCACCATCTTGATCTCATGCACATCGAAAAGAATGTGTGTGACAACATTATTTCTACTATTTTGAATGTTCCCGGAAAGTCAAAAGACAACATATATATTCGAAAAGACATGGTTGAGCATCTGAATATTCGGAAAGAATTAGTACCACAACCACGTGAGAATGAATTTCTTCTTCCACCAGGTAGTTATACCTTATCAAAGGTTGAGCAAAAAAAATCTGTTAGTGCTTACATGGGATAAAGGTGCCACCAGGGTATGCGTCTAATATTAGAAATCTTGTATCTCTACAAGACATGAAATTGATAGGGTTGAAGTCTCAACTATAATGTTTTGATGCAACATTTGTTACCTGTTGCTTTAAGAGGTCTTCTACCCGATCATGTTCGGCATGCCATTATGAGGTTGAGTTTCTTCAATTCTATATGTCAAAAAGTAATTCATCAAGAGAAACTTGATGCTTTGCAATCAGAAGTGATTGTTGCATTATGTCAACTTGAGATGTACTTTCCGCCATCATTGTTTGACATTATGGTGCATCTTGTTGTGCACTTAGTCAGAGAGGTAAAGATGTGTGAGCTGGTGTTTTTGAGGTACATGTACGGAATGGAGACACACATGGGGTATTTAAAATCAAAAGTAAAGATTCGTTGTCGACCGGAATGTAGCATCATCAGAGATTTAATTGATGGAGAAGTCATTGAATTTTGTATGACATATTGAACGAATGTTGAATCTTTGGCAGCACCAAAGTCTAGACATGATGACAGACTTGATTGAAAGGCCACTCTTGGGAAGAAACAAGTACAGAATGTGGATAATGACTTGTTGGGAAAGGCTCATCTTCTCGTATTGCATCATATTGAAGTTTTTTGTTTTATTTTGTCATTTATTTTAAAAAATACATGTAGGATGATGTATCTTGTAGGCTAGCCGTTGCGTCACACACTGAATCTGGTGATAAGAGTTTTGATTTTGTTCCATGGGGGTAGCTTACAACACGCCTAGCGGGGGGGCTGATTCACAATGTGTCGTTGTCTGAAAACACCATTAAAGTGAACATATTTATGACATATCCAGTTTTTGAAAATTATCCCTTGTTATATCCTAATGAAGCCGCTGATATGAATGTTGTAGCAGACGTTGTAGGTTCTTTTGTCCAGTGCCCAACGTAGTTAGTTTTTTTAATGAGAGGTAATCAAGTAATGGTTGATCTGTACTATTTAAATTTGTTGTATTATCTTGCTATAAATGTGTATCATATTTGTTATTATAATCGTTTCAGGAACCACCATCTAAGTCAAAAAAGAAGGATGTGGCTAAAAAGAAATTGCCTTTTATCCAGAGAGACTCGCCAAAAGTAATGGTTGAATCCAACTCACATGCATTGGTCAGTGAGGTTGTTCTTCATTCACTTACTGAGTTGGGAAATGATGATCACACGTTCCAAGAGAGTGGGGGCGAGGTAGATGATGTTCATAGTGAAGAAGTCCAACTCCACAAGCAAGA